TAAGCCTCCAACTTCGGCTCAGGTCATGATCTCACAGCTTGTGAGTTCGAGCCCCGCGTCGGGCTCTGGGCTGACAGCTCAGAGCCTGGAACCTGCTTTGGATTCTGTGTCTCCCTCTCTCTCTGCCCTTCCCCCACTTGCGCTCTTTCTCTCTCTCTCTCACAAAAATAAATAAACGTTAAAGATTTTTTAGAAATAAATAAAATATGTTTGGGGCAAGAAGAAGATCAAGGTAAACAGGGACACCGTTTATAGTGCAATTCGGAGGAACGAGTCAGAGAAAGTCAGGTTCTTTGCTATTTAATTTGACTTCTCTAAGAAGGAAAAGTGATCTCTGGATTGAAATAGATGCAACAAAATTAGGCAAGAAATAGCAGAAACCAAAGGCTGGTGAAAAGATCAGAAGGGAACGATAACTCCGTGTCCTGACCGGGATAAAACATACACGAGAATATCTATAGAGCGAGAGTGGCTTAATCACATGTATGGTTTTTGAGGAAATGGGAAATGAGTCTGTGTGACCAACCCGGGGCAAAAATACTGAGAGCAAAATGGTCACAAGAAACCAGCATAGGCTAAGGACAAATCAAGGTCCCTTCTTGACGAAGTTAGTAGATCGGGGGAACTGTGGTAACCCAGTAGGCCCACATTCCACAAGGGGGTTCATTTGCAAAGCCTTCCTGCTATTCCGTGGACGAGACGGAGAAATGTCAGGTGGATGCTAATGGAAGATGATAGAATGAGAACTGTCGAATAACCACCCAGAGATCCTGTTTAAGGATCAGAGTCAACCCAGTTTCTAGTGGGGAGCCACAGGGCTCGGGACATTTTAGCACAGACCTGGATACGGACGGAGGAGGAATATTTATATTTGCAGACGACCTGAAGCTGTTGGTTGATGGGGATAATGCAATCAGATTCTAAACAATCCTGACAGGCGGAAACATTGACCCGGGACTAGCTACATAAAGTCCAGCGCTAACTTAGAACGGATCCTGCTTTGAAGCCCACAAAAACGGTAGGATGGGAAAGCACAATGTGGGGAAGGCCTGTTTGGGGTAGACACTTTACTCATCCACAAGTTTAAGAAGTCAGTGGTATGACTGATGTGAGTGCTGGACAAGTTAGCATAACCAAATACAGTTAAAAGATGATACAAACGGAAATCAGTCCTGCTTTAGCCAGCCCCGGGACAGCTGTTCAGCGTGAGGACTGCCACACCGCATGAGAGTTGGACGCAGACTCGGAGGAGAGAGCGGCGTTAGGCAGACTCAGAGGCTGCGTCATCCGCAGACGTGTTGGCACCAAGGGGGTGGCAAGCCTGAAGACGCGTGGCTCTGAGAGAGGGTAACTGCCTTCAAGCATCCATGCTCTCCGCACAAGGACAAGGTCTGACACTGCCTATGTGCTGAAGGGCTAGAGTAGGACCGCCTTCGGAGAAATACGTTCAAAAAAAAAAAAAAGATCGCTAA